GGCTGTTCATTTATTTCTTAGAAGGGCTCAGAAAACAAAAGTGTTTGTTTTTAATAAGATTACATCTTGAATGTTTCAAGACTCTCTATTTTTCCCTTCAAGGTTCAATTCTCACAGCTGTAGGAGGCTGTCATCCACATAATTGGCTTCAAAAGTTCCTCCAGACCCCTCGATGTATTTCCTATGGCTAATCTTGCTGTGAGTAATCTCCTTCAAATATCCTGTTCACATGAATTATCTTGATTAACAAGCAAGGTTAACACAAAAACTCTTTAACTTGCTGACATGATTTTCCTTCCACAAAATCTGTCAATCCTGTTCTTTTGTTCCAGCTATCGCTTTCATGTTAGATGGAAATACTTTTCCTACTATGCCAAATCTATTGACAAATCCATTCTCCAGGCAATAGGGTAATCAAGGTTATGCCATCTTTGTACCCAATATTACTGATTGATCTGCTTCTTCCCTTAAAAATCTTACAGGGCTTTTCTCATCATGATCATCAGTGTCAGAATATTGAATAGATTTATCATACGTGGATGCAGGTTTTGCTCCTCCAATTTTTAAGCCAATTTCTGAATTACAGCCTGCATACAAATTCATCCAAGTTGAACAAAAAGCCCTTCTCAAGCACAGTGAGCCACAGTTTACACCATTACTCATTCGAATATTTACAGAAAGTCAATAAAGCAGTGACTGCCCACCTTCTTATGCTTCCATGGGGCTACACCTCTTTCAGGTTTAAATCTACAGAATACTTTATTTCAAAAAGATCTGCAGAAGAAAAGTAAGGTTTCCCTGAAGCTCTGTTGACTCTGAAACTACCAAATGGCAGATAGTGGATGAAACAAGGCGCACAAAAGGAGGAGAGCTTAACCAACGTCTTAACCAGGTTAAGCTTACAGTTGTCTACTAAAGGCTCCTCCTATCTGTCAAGGTAATCATGAGGCACATGACAGAAAAATTGTTTGGAGGTACCCGGAAACAGTCAGTAAATCATCATCACCTTCCAGTCTTATTTATGGAGACTGCAAGTATCTCACTAACAATCAATTGTAACAGCAGTTTCTCATACAATTATTAAACAGAGGTTATTAGACAGTTTATAATACAATCCTGAATTTTGAAAAATGATTGCCAAATAAAACAGATTAAAAATAGACAACTTCATAAGAAAAGGGGGCCTTAAAACCCCCTATTGCCCAGGAAACCAACCTCCTCTAACTGAAAAACACTAATATCCTGCCTCTCACATTTTACAAAATAACTGTTCAGTATTACCGGCAAAAGAACCCTAAAATGTACAGAAGTGCTTTAAATATGAAGTGTTTGTCAAATGCTCAGAGGACAAATATAAAATTGAAATTACCATGTCAACGTTACAAAGGGATAACTGGGGAGCGGGGGGTGTTACCACGCATACACAAGAACTGAGTTTCAAACTAGAATCCACTTGCTAACTATTGCCTGTTTTACAAAATGCCTCTGTCTACCCAGTTCTTCCAGAATGACAATTATTCAAACCTGGCTCTTGACCCTTTCAAAGCACTAGGAGGTCTCCAGATTAAAGCTTAAATTCTTGTCCTACGTAGTTATCACCTTCGTCATATTAAGGATTCTATTTTGGTCCTCATCCATTTTACCCCAGGACATCTCAAAGCCATCATCAGTCTCCGGCATCACTTTTGTGCAGATGACACCTGTCTCTAACCTCGCTCACCTCTGCTTACGTGTTGACACATTTATACCATATTCAGCAAACCAACCAGCCAGTCTTCATCTGGTGCTGGTGTCTGAGCAGCAGTAATCCTACCATAAACCTAACTGGCTGGAACGATGTCTCCATTTCCTTCAGCAATCTCAGAACACTTCAAGCATGGTTGTCTTTTAATTCCCTACCCTTGCCCACCACTTTCCTGTTGTGGAGATAAAAAAAAAAAGCACAGATAAATCAGTATCCCAAACAATGTACTCTTCCATGATGCTTATTCCACTAATATCATACAGATATAGGATCATATGCTCATCAGGCATAGAGAGCATGGCATCAAGTTCTTCATCAGACAAAGATGAATTCTTTGTATGGACAAATGTCTTTCAAATCCTCTTTTCAACTCATACAATTTTTTTCCTATTACAGTAAATAATATTGCCAAAGGCGGTCAGGCATTATTTTCTAAAAATCAAAGCACAGGACCAACATCAAAACTGCAGCAAGAGATTTTGCTTAAAAAAAAACAAAAAAAAACCAAAAAAAACACAAAAAAAAACCCAAAAACCAACCACACACCAAAACACACACCCAAGCACACAAACACCAATCAATTCAGGTAATTATCTTTACTATGTTATCAACGTTGGATAGAAAGTTCTGAAAAATAAAAAACCTGTACTTCAAAGGTGATTTATACCTAATGGTATACTGTGGGTCATTACCACCGTTATAGCTTAAGCAAAAGTAAAAAAAAAAAAAAAAAAAACCAAAAACAAAAAAACCACACAACAGAAACAAACCACTTATTTTTGTTCCCTATCAAAAAGAATAGCTCTGTAATACCTGAGGCAATAAGAATGAAGGCAATGTTGCGTCTCCTTACAGACACGTATTTAAGCCTCCTTTCAGAATGACTCACATAATCAGGAACTTGGTTGGGGACAAGGAATAATGCATAACATTAAATATTACTTTAAATGCAATTAAAATGGTGCTAATTACTGTTATAAAAGAATAGTACTACATTATCCAAGGCACTGTTTCAAATGAAAATAATCTGTAGATGACTGGTGACTGTGCAGCTCCCTCAACTAAAAATGTTGTATGAGGTATTCAGACCAGGGCAAGTAACTGAAGTTTATCCCACTGTTACAGGGCACTTAAAAAAAAAAAGTAAATTAAAAAAAATCAAGAGAGCATTATATTTTAAATTATAAATTGAGGTTGAACAATGCAGTTGTTTAATTTGAACGAAACGGAAAGCAAACTGTGCTCTTCCTTCCCCTGTTCTCATGTCCAAGCAGCGATTCTCCTTCCTCCCCCGTGTGTGTGGCCCCAGAGTCCCAGGGAGGAAGCAAGGGGGAGAAGGAGTTCACAGGCGGCCCCAGAGTCGAAAGCATTGGGCGAAACAAAAAGGTTCAAAGATTTTCAGCATCTTTTTGCACTCCTTAACTAATTAACAATAATTGTAGTTTATCTAAGTGTACATGTGGGGTAGTTTATCTAATTGTACACGCGGGCATTTCTCCTTCAAGCCTTTAGCACATCAAAGCTCCTCTGACATTAGAATTTTGCATTTCGTCCCCCCACTGCAATGAAGATACGGACAGGGAAAAACCTGGCTATCCAGCAGAGGAGTGCATTCTCTTTCTTTTCACGTGATCTGACTACGTGAGAGGACACTACACCCCAGAAACCACACCGTGTATACTGTAACCTGCCAGCAGTTTCATCTAACAGAACTCTGTGACCCTATCACCATCTAGCAGCTATTTTTTCTCATTACCCATAATAAAACTAGCTGTAGTCTTGTGAACTAGCAACAACAGATCTGTTTTGCCCCTTTTTCTTTTTTTTTTTTAAAAAGGCACAAAAAACCTTAATGATGCTCTTAAGTGACTTATTCCTCAAGTTTAGCAAAACAATTTTATCTAGGTTTTATGCAAATATCGACTTGCCATGTCCTCTCTTCAATCACTCAAGGAACATTAAGAGTTTAACACCCAGCCTATAGTTAACCAAGAACAGAGTTGAAAAATTCAGTCCTGTATGTTCTTATTAGCACTGACCATGAAATTCAAGTATACAGAAATGTATCTGAGCTAGAGTTGACATTTTTAAGTCTATCAACTCATGGTGAACTCACACTGAGTAAAGCGCCACTGATTAATCTGAGTTTCATGAACAGCTCAGCATAGGTGCATTTGTGAAGAAAGGAAAGACATTCACGTTAAGTTGGTATCCACTCTTTATTAATCTCATTGCGCTGTGTTAGGGCTAGGAGGGAAGCAGGCCTACTCCAGCCGAGCAGCGACAGCACACCGCAGGAGCGGGAGAGGAGACCACGCTGGTGAGCACAAAGGCAGCTCGCGCTCCGGGAGTAAGCCAGCACCCCACTGCCCACAGGAGACGAGTCCGTCGCAGAACCACCACGCAGGGGGAAAGCCTTTATTTCATTTGATAAGAGGCAGCAGCACTTCTGTTAATCTCGTCAAAAACTAACCAAACTGGATACCAAGGCAAGTCTACGGGGCTTTTTTGTTTTGTTTTGTTTGTTTGGGTTTTTTGGTTTGTTTTTTTTTTTTAAATCACTCCTGCCTAGCCTAGAAGTGCAGCTTGAACACAAATAAGTAACATGCAGCTTCAAGATATAGTGAAGTAAAATTTCTGAGTGATGTACAAGGTCAAGCAGAGTATTACAGCACAGCAAGGTCCAGCTCAAGTTAAATAGCATGCTTCAGTGAAAGCACGTCACAACATTCACTCTGCTTCAGCTATGAGATGCAGTCAGACTCCTGTCATACGCTCTCTGTAACCGATGCTGCTGGCCTCTATTCTCTTCCTTCCCATAAAAATCATATACGCTATTAAATACAGCCTCCAACCAAATGGTAGAAGCTGCGTGATCTACAGTTATATTATTTGAGACAGGGAACTCTATACAAAACAGTTACACAACAGGAATTATTCAAAGGGCTCTCAATTGAGCAAGCCAACTACAAATTCTCTTACAAACTTAAAAATCCAGCCGAATGAGATTTAAAAACGATCAAGTGCAGTATTTCACACAGAAATTTCACCATGTAGAAAAAGTGAAAGGGAATTTAAATTAAATTAGCAGAACATTTCTTCCACTATCCAATGTTAGAAATACAAAATAATGAAGGAATTATTTTGAAATTGTGAAAAATTTAGAGTAACATCAACATATAAGATAGCATTTAATTTAAAAAAAGAAAAAAAAAAATCTTACCTTACCTTAAATAAAAACAACAACTTTACATACCTGCAAGGTGGTAAAAACATGGAATCCTTCATGAGCACAGATCCAGAAAGTAGTATATACCAGCATCTTGCAATAGTTTCTGAGCTGTAAGAAAAGAAAACATTGATATCTACTTTCTTCTTACAGCAACTCAAAAATATATTATCCAAAATGTTGGTGTAGTAAAATAATGATCTACCACCCCACCAATTTGGTATGTGGACAGGAAACCTAAGAACGCTACCAAGAATTAACTTTTTTTAAAATGTCTACATCCAGAATGTATCTTATACCTTACAATTTGACTTTTAATTCGATTTAAAAATGTCTTTTATTAAAATGAAATTATTAGTTTTCAGTAAAAACATTTCATTCCAATGAAAGTGTACATAAAATTACAAATACAGGAAAGTTTTTATCCTGTGCTAAAGTCGATTAGCATTTCAACATAGACAATAATATTACATGGACCTGTCAAGTCTTATGGATAAAACATGGGACTCATACATTTGAGTCCTGCTTTGCATTCCTCCACCTCTGCGCTTGCATCGCACGCACATGCGGTTTTGTCTCCCATTGTGCCACTCGACCCCAGAGGGACGGAGAGGGGATCTGCCAACCATTTCAACTTACAGCCTGTAGGTCTGCACAGAAGTTACCGTCTTTTACTGCAGTAGATTTTGCCTCTTCCTACAGTGCTGCATTGACACTTCCCAGCTACAGCCTAACATCACCTTCCTCTTTCAGCGCTCAACCCCACACACACACATCAGCCTGGTCCTGGAACAGGTCTGTGTCACACACACCCACCACATGAACTCGCAGGTTGCATCTCATTGATTTAGACTCGTGTACTGGAAGGTGTGCCTTACACAGAAAGCTAATATTGGTGTGTTTATCCTCTCACAGCTACAACCAATGCTAAAATATGAGAAAAAAGTATATCTGCCTCCCAGCAGGAACCTAAAAAGAACTCTAAGCTAAAATACTAATTCTAGTAATTTAAAAGAACAGATAGTGTTTGAGCTCCATCCCTCCTCGGCATACTCCTACAAAGCAACTGGGTTCCTGACAGTGCAGTCAGTGCCAGCTCCAGGGGAAGAGTGCCACCTACTGAGTCGTCACCACCGCTCCCACGAACAGAAGAGGTGACACTGCCTGCTTTTTGATTGATCTTGCGTGTGCACAGACAGACACACCTCTGTTGTCCGTGGGAGCCGTGCTGATAATTCATGGGCACCTCTCAAATGTCAACACTGTACTACTGTTACAACCGCCTCCTGTCAAAGCCTTTAACCAGTCTGGCCCAGCTCAAATGCTGTAAAGCCTTCTATTTACAATTACTGAAAAAGCAAGCGATATATTACAACATGCAAAACAGTGGTTTCGTTTACACAAGTCCAACAAGCGATATGTACTTACCAAAAGAGAACTTGGTTGCCCTTGTACCTCTCATAGCGGGCACTTGATGACATTATTCTGAGGGAGGAGAAGTTTAATTTCAATTTGAATCCCCAAAGATCATAAGCCATTAATCACCACATTTCAGTAGAATCACTTTAAGGCTCTAAGACCTCAAATTCAACTATTTTTTTGTTCTAAACAAAGAATGTGCTTAACCATAAAATTCAAATTATTACGGTGTTCTTCATTATCCAAATAGATAACACACAGCATGTTCTCTAAGTGTTTAAATCACTCCCACACATTGGAATTACCCATAGCAACAGAACTGAAGGAATTAAAATACTTCCAACGCACTTCTTGTGCTTTGTTGGCCTTCCATTTTATGTATTCTGAGATCATCCAAATGTCTGAAGCATTAAAAAGCTTTTGTAATCTAGAGTTAACATAGGGCACTGTCTACACAGTCCTTCGTAGACAAGTGGGAGTAAGCTCTGCCTTCGTTCTTAGCAAAGCTAATTAGTTTAGGTTCCATGCCACGTTATTGCAGTGACTTAACTCAGCAACGGACTTGGCCGATGCTCTGCCACCTCCAAGTGCGGGCAGACAAAAGCTTTGCTCATCTCCACAAAAATACATAGATACCAGTTGTGCTAAGCAACACTAACTAGCTCCATAGTACTTTACCTTAGCTGATGCTCCCTGAAATGTGAGAGTATGTCCAGTCCATGAAGGAAAGAATAGATAGCATTTAAGTCCTAAAAAGAAAGAAAGAAAGAAAGAAAAAAAAAGAGGCATGAGCAACTTCATTCACAGCATCTAATCACTTCAGCATTACATTCACAGATTCTGCAATAAGTTACACAGACTTATGAGACGTAATTCTAGAGACAAAGCCCAAATTAGTAGACAGGTCAGGACACATGCAGGCTTTAAGAACCCTGTCCACACTTAAGCTGTGGAAGTGAAAAGAGTGAAGATCAACTGATGCATAAACACTTACCTGAAAAAGATTTATTAAAAATATCTCTGAAAATATTATTTACATAAATGGATACAGCAGCAAGCAACATGTGGAATAAATCAGATAGGACAGTCCTATTCATCCAAGGTCAAAAATTGTCGAAACCTTGTAACACCTCTTTAAAGAGGGAATTTTGCAAAATTAGTTTGCTAATAGCAATGAACCGTAGCGAAAACCTAAACCACATAGTCTAGCCACTATATATGGTGCAGAGAACCACAGTACTTTTTCGTAGTGAAAGTGTTATGTTTAAAGAGACAAAGCTATTTCATGCCAACCTCGGATCTAGCTGGTAGCCCTGCTACAAACTCCCCTCCAACCTACTGCCTCTCTAACTCAGTCCAGTCCCTGACCAGAGGGCAACATTAGAAGTTACCCCAAAATACTCTTTGGCAAAGATGAAGACAATGGAGTTTTAGGTTTGTCTCCCACCTCCTCCTACCAAAACTCAGCATCACATCAGTGCCATCCATGAGCAACCACAGAAGCAAACATCTTTTTTGAAGCAACAATATTAAAATATGATGATTATTTCACTTTAAAAATTGGACTTTACATAGAAGCTGTAATTAGGAAATACAGCTGTTCAAACTTCTCACTACACAGAACCCTCTTCAGTCACAAAAATATCTGTGCTGATGGTGCAGACCACATGCTAGGGAAAAGCTCACTAGCGCTATTCATCATTTAATTTACTATCCTGAACAGGTGGGCTGTTAGCATTAAATACATGCACAACAAAATCATTATATACCACATAGCAGTTTCTCCAGCTTGGCCTTGGAAAATATGTTCTGAATTTTCAAGTGCTGCATTTATACAGTGTTTACAAAAGATAAATCAATATGAACGCTAGCCTCAGCATTTACAATGGATTTACTTTAGAAAAGTTCTTTGGCTTAATAGTCAATGTTTAGAAATACAACAGATATAGACTGTTATATCAAATGAAAGGTCATATGTAATTGCAGGCCATGTAAAACCAATAAAACTCTTGATTTTTTTTTTAAATATCATTACCAAAGCCCATAAAAATTAAACAGAAGGCCTGAATGCTTAACACATATATTTATAAAGTACCCTTTTCACACAGTCCAATCTCATTTTAATCCTCTGGCTGTGAATTGCCACAAACTCGATTTTCTTAGTGAAACGCCCAAGAACACTAGCTATGACTCAGACTCCAAACACACCACTTGCTTGTGGTGATCAAGCCTGAACACCAAAGGTGGTAAGAGACGGTTACCCAGCAGCCAGAGGGTCACTCGAGGTATCGGACCAGTTCAGTTATTGAGCTCTCCCCCTTTCTGAGCAGGGAACTGCCTTGACTTCACCACCAGAAAACGTTAGGCACAGGAATGCGGCAACAATATCCTCCGACCATATAGTAGTTAGTAGTATCCTGGTAGTTAAAGAATTTATGGAAAAATTGAAATAAACCCCCTTGTGCTCCACATTCTTCCTCCTCCGCCTAGCATCCCGCAAGAGCACTCAGGCAGGCAGGTAAAGGAAGGACAAGCAGCAGATGCTCTCAGCTCCTGTTGAAGCTGGGCCACCAGGCAGCTGGGGGGAGTTAGTATTTGGTGTTACAATTAAAGCTAAATTTTTCAGTCTTCATAACTCATTGTGTCTATATATGCTTTCCTACATTTTCCAATGTTTTTCTACATAATTGAGACTAAGATATAACAATGTCTTCAACATAGGTTTTAGATAAGCAGTTCTATCATCATGAGTTACAGAACATTGTAAGCAGAACAAAAGCTTATGTTCGTGTTTAATCACAAAGTTTTTAAATCGTACATATGAAAAATGACCACATCCTTACTTGAGAATTACTCTCTACAACTCCACAGAGCACAGCCCCTTATAGCAGGTTAATTCAGCATGGGCTGCCTCCTGCACTCCACCTGCAGCCAAACAGGATAACTGTACTGAGCCACCACGCTTACTTAGGAGCTGGATGAATAAACAGTTTGTAAATTAAAGAGAAAAACATTTGCTTAAAGGGATTCATGCCTGGGAAGCATCCCTCAGCTCAGACTTCGGCTCTTGAGATGTGCAGCAGCAGAGAAAACAGCTGAGCCAGAGCACAGCACAGAAAAGGGAAGGCAAAGCTTCCTATTCCCTCAGCACAGCAGAAGGCATTTAACTTAAGCTGGACAGTATTACTGCTTTCATGTTGATAAATGAAATAAGAAACATATTGTTCCCTACCCAGCCAGGTGCCATTTCAACAAGCTATACATTAGCTATTCATGCATCAGCTTCTACAGGTGGTTTTAAATCAGGGTCTATAACACACTCTATAAAAATAACTGACTTTTAAAGCAATCACCTCTCCTAATTAAGGAGAGCAGGTGATTTTGTCAGGTGCCACTGAGCACAAGAGCTAACTCAGAGATCACGTCTCCCAGGAAGGTCTGTGGGCTGCATCTTCCCTCCGCTGCGCCGAATGTACCGATCCAATGCGTTCTACACGTCTTGTTGAAATAATGCTTTTTTTTGTCTGTTTAAAGAGATTCTTTACAGACAGCCAGGTGAAATTCCTCCTCTCCCTCACAGGCCACTTCAAAGTCTAACAAGGGAGGTTATGTGCAGCTAATCTAGCCCCGTTTTTCCTGATAACATGACAATTTTTTATCAGTCATACTTTGCAAAGCTTTTGCCGTTACTCCTATCTCATGTAAGGATAAGTGCTTATAATAGCACTGAAATAACATTTGAGAGACTACATTTAGAGGCTTGTTTTATATTTTAGCAGGCGAGGAACATGATTTTAACCCCAGCGCAGCGGAGGCGGCAAGCGGCCGGTGATGGGCCGGTGCTGTGGCCACCTCGTGGACGGACGCTGCCAGCCCGGCTGTGCCGCGCACCCAAAAAATCCTCCATCGGAGACAAAAGCGTTCATTTCTCTAATTCAAGGTTTATAAAACTGAAAATAGGATTAGAAGCTGTTATTTTTAGAAACAGATTTACGTTGCTACACCAGTTATAAACAGCAGCCAAACACATAACCACAGTACAAAGGGTAAAGATTATTTTCACAGATACCCACTATGAAGAGAAAGGGCTATAAAAGGACGATGCCAAAGGGCAACAATCAGCACTACAACAGCGGAACACAAAGTATTTGCTGAAAAGTTACAGACCCTTTCCGTACCCTTCCCTATCATCTCTTGACACACTTCTTTCTGCCAAAATCCAACCAAAAGACAATTATTGATGAAAAACAATTTCTCCGCATGCTCTAAACTAGGGACCAAGGTCAAAATTCTTTTATTTTATAATCTTTATCTTCAGAGCTTTTCATCAGCTAATAATAGCTGAAACTAAAGCACAGTATCTACCTTCAAATGGTGTGCCCACACATATTATTCAATCTTTGACAGAAAACTACCTTGCCTAGGTTAAGGAGAAATTAACTCACGTTTTCTATCCAACCAGCTAAAAACGCAGCTCTGGTGAGCCAAGGGAAGGAGGGGAACTGGGCAAAGAGCGGAGGGAAGCAGACAGGAGTTGTTAATCTTGCTAGGAAGGAGGCTTTCTAGACTACAGAGAGCCAAAACATGAACACTGTGACTACAGTGATCCTGCACAAAGCTGCCTGGGATGGCTTATTTTCTTTGCCTCCAGTTCTCACAGCACTGAGTTCACGAGCAGAGGTGTGCTCAGCTGCTACCTCTGTTTAAAAAGCAGAGGGCATCTGTTTCTTCATATTCTTCACGTGAAAGAATACACTGTATAAAAAGGCGTGCATTTAAGCACGAGTGCAGAAACCAAGGGATCACTCTGCAGACAGCACCGTTATCACCAAACCTGGCCACAAGGAAAGCGCGGCCCAGCAGCGATACGCCAGCAGCCCCCAGCTCCATTCAGCAGCAGCTTTTATCACCCCTGACACCACATCCTTCCAACAAAAACCTTAACCAGCTGCTAAACCAAGGGCGGTGTAAAAACACCGAGATTTTATTAACAATGTAATGTTATATAAATCAGCTTTCTTATGTTATCATAACATCCTCATTCCGATACACTATGAAGTGAGCCACTTGAATAACTAGACCACTTCTCATTTTCCCTGCCAGATGCTAACTCACATAATTACCACAAGATGCCATAACTGTAGAATAAGGGAAAATAAAAGCAGCACCAGTGGCATCAACTGAAAACTCATCACATAAAAGCAAACCAGATAACTACTACCATCACTCATTTACCCCAAAACACTTTTATTTGGAAGTAATTTACTACTTCCAATTTTTACAAGGATGGTGAAATATTAATTTCTTAGTTGCTAAGATGTAACTTTCAAAAATAAAGAAATAAATAAAAGTCAGCCAAAAAAGTCATCATGAGAATATAATCAAACCTCAAAATTGGTGGAGAAGTGGTGATCATCCTTAGTTTCGTTATCAGCATCTTTTTTAAAATACGACCGAGATCTGGATGCTTCTGAAGAAGCACGATAGTGCAGAAGCACCAAGCGCTGCTGGGAGTGATCCTCTCCCCCCACGGCCACCTCTACTTCAGCAGCACGCCAAGCAATACAGCGGCCTGTGTACCCTTTTATTGATCCAGGAAACTTGTTGAAGCATAGATTACCAGTGTCCTAAGGCTAAAGTGATTTACACAGCCGCCTCTGAAGTTTATTTAAGCTAACTTTTAACAATTTAATGTCCCCCCTCAATAAAAAGTTTGTCCCTGCCTCTCTGTCGCCTCAGCTGATGAGCA